GGCAGCCCCACGGCCGCGGGCGCCGGGCAGCGCTCGGATTTTTGCCGCGTGCAGGGAAAGCGCGGTGTTAATTCGGTTCTGGAGGATTCCTGACGCTCACCAGAGAGCACAGCAAGGGGCGAAGCGCCTGGATTTGGACGGCCTGTCAGCGCCTGAGCATCCAAGCGGATGCTGCGGCATTTTTCAAAATCTCATTGCATTCATCCATCTTTAGGAGCCTAGATTTCTTTGCAAACCTGCCTGTGCGTTTCAAACCCGCTCGTTAAAATGTTAAACCACCTTTTTCTTCCTTGAAAAAAAACCCTGCTGTTCATTTCAGTTCATTTCATCAACTGGCTGAGGCTGAATTACCTAGCTCTCAAATTCCATCCCTTCAAACCTGACCAGGTAAATTGGCTCCTCATGTCTAGTGGCCCGGTTCCCTCCATGATTTTAAAATTATCTTGGCCAGCTGCAGCGGCCGACGTGTTTCCTGCCAGCGTGCCCATCAGGCTGGGAGAGCTGCCTCTCCGGGAGCTGGGTGCTGCCTCCTCATACGAGGCAATGAGGCTTCGCAGTGGCATTTGGGGCATCACTGGCAGCTAATAAGAGCACACCGAAGAACCCAAATGCAGTTTGATTTCCAAGCACTTACCACTTCTGTTGATGAGTGAGAAAGAAATGGGCTAGCTGTTAATGGCCTTAGTGCATAATTATCAGGAATCCTTGTAGTCTCCAAGACGGATGGATTTCAGGGAACAATGCAAGTCAATACGCACAAACCAGAGGCTGTTTTATTAAAAAAAAGCAAAGCACAGATTTCTGTGCTTTACAGACTGCCCAGTGTTTTCAACATCAAAATCTATAGTTTCTTTTATTTCTGTGCCTTACCAAGAAATAAAAGAAAAAAAAAAAATCTAATGAAGAAGAAGGCGTCACAAGCAGAGTGTGCCACTTTGTCTCTAACATTACTTTATAGACAAGTAGAAATCGTCACATTTTGGGCAGCAGCGTGACTTGATATTGCAATATTGCTTGCAGATACTCTGCCTTATTACAGACACTATCTGCAGAAAACAAAGGAAAAATCATTAAATATTTACCAGACATCCCAAGAAAGCTGTAGAGGTGCAGTGATGCTAAAAGGAGATGTTCCACTGAGCTTACTACACCTGTCAGGGCACTGAAGGTCTTACCTACCGCATCTTCACCAGCACAGAATTTCTTAAGGAAAGAGAATCTTTTATTCCAAAACTTTAATTTGCTGATGCAATAAAAATGTACACTGAAATCGCTGAAGTCTGGTACTAAATCTACCACATTTCACCCAGATAAACTACATCTGCAGCAGTATTAACAGACTCCAAGCTATTGTCAATACTTCTATCCTTACAGTATGTTGCACAACTGCAGCTCTATGCCCACCAAATAAAATTCAGACTGCGAAACAAAAAGGCAAGGGAAATTCTTAAGAAAGTTGGGATGACGGAACAACTCCAAACATCAGATTCACTTTCACAGAATCACAGAATCACAGAATGTCAGGGGCTGGCAGGGATCTCTGTGGGTCACCCAGTCCAACCCCCTGCCCAAGCAGGGTCACCCAGAGCAGGCTGCACAGCACCACGTCCAGCCGGGGCTGGAATATCTCCAGAGAAGGAGACTCCACAGCCTCCCTGGGCAGCCTGTTCCATGGCTCCATCACCCTCAGAGGGAAGAAGTTCTTCCTCATGTTCAGCTGGAACTTCCTCTGCTTCAGTTTGTGCCCATTGCCCCTTGTCCTGTTGCTGGGCACCACTGGAAAGAGCTTGGCCCCGTCCTCCAGACACCCACCCTGCAGATATTTAGAGGCATTTCTAAGGTCCCCAGGGCTTGAGTTAGACCGACGCAGAGTACATCTGGGGTGTTATTTCAGCATTTCTGCTCTTAGACATGCTGCTTAAGCCATGCTAAAGGCTCGGGTGGTTCTTCAGCGCTGGCAGGGGTTAAGTCATGCATAGAAGAAATGCTAGAGAAAAAATCTCAGATTAGGTTAGAAACTCAAAAACAAGTTACCGTAAGGAAAAACCGCACTGCTGCCTGTCCAATGTGCAAGGCAGCGTTACGCCGTTTAATACAAATCCTGCACTCTGCCTTTGAGACCTGGCCCTGGCACCACAGAATCACAGAATCACAGAATAGTAGGGGTTGGAAGGGACCTCTGTGGGTCATCTAGTCCAACCCCCCTGCCGAAGCAGGGTCACCTACAGCAGGCTGCACAGGACGTTGTCCAGGTGGGTCTTGAATATCTCCAGAGAAGGAGACTCCACAGCCTCCCTGGGCAGCCTGTTCCAGTGCTCCGTCACCCTCAGAGGGAAGAAGTTCTTCCTCATGTTCAGACGGAACTTCCTGTGCCTCAGTTTGTGCCCATTGCCCCTTGTCCTGTCACTGGGCACCACTGAAAAGAGCTTGGCCCCATCCTCCTGACACCCACCCTGCAGATATTTATAAGCATTTATTAGGTCCCCTCGCAGCCTTCTCTTCTCCAGGCTGAACCAGCCCAGCTCCCTCAGCCTCTCCTCGTAGGGGAGATGTTCCAGTCCCCTCATCATCCTCGTAGCCCTCCGCTGGACTCTCTCCAGTAGCTCCTCATCTTTCTTGAACTGGGGAGCCCAGAACTGGACACAGTACTCCAGAAAGCCTTCGGATGGCCGTGTGGATGGAGAGTGGGATGAGAGGGAAGCGCATTGCTGGGGAGCCTGGGCACACCAGCGCGGGGCCCAGAGCTGCGAGGTGCTGAGCCCCGAGATGCTGCAGCTCAGCAACCTACAGCGTCTGCCCCGAGCAGCACCTCCGGAGTGTCCGTTCCAAGAGCATCGCCTTTTCCCCATTGTGTTAGAAGCATTAGAATGCATAAGACATGATATTAATGACATGTCCATCACAATTTCGTACACAGCCTGGAACTGTGGAGCATTCCTCTGTTAATGGTTTCCCAAGGCCACCACGTTACAAAGAGTTATTAAAGGTGATAAAAATACTGACAACATGTGCCTTTGTATTGTAGCTTTGAAATATCATCCCAGTGGAGCTCATGAAAGATTTCAGTTTTGCAGATTCTGTCAGATGCCAGCTCTTTCACAGCTCTTTGTCCCGAAGTACTGAGATCAACAAAACAGACGTTGAAACCCATGGTGCAAGCTGATCAACAGAAATTCAATCTTTTCTCCTGCTCTCTTCTTCAGATACCCATGAACAAGAACACGCCATGGACACCTGCTTCACCCAGCGTGTTATTCCGACACGCCACAGCTCGCAAAGCAAACATTGGCACAGGAAGGCACCCGCGCCTCCCGTCCTCTGCTCTGCCCACCAGCACCCCTGGGCTTGCACCACGCGCGGCTCTCCTGCTCCCAGCTCCCAGCCACCTTCCAGGGCCGCTGAAAGCCAGGTGCTCAGGAGAGAACTGCATGGTCCAACCAACGTGTGGAAAAGTGCTCAGGAGAGCAGTGACAAAGGCCATGCGTGGTCCACGCAACGCATGGAAACATGCGTGAAGGTGCAAGGACAAGGCTCTGCTTCTCCTGCACGCCAGGTAAAACAGCTGCTGAATTCTGACCTGCACCAAATGCTCACAGATTATTTAAAACATTGCAGAAACGAACAGAAGGGGCACCAGGACCTTTCATACACGTTGAATAACCCATAAGGCACCATGCACCTTCAGAGGCCATCAGGGAGCCCTCCCAGTAACAGAGAAGCCTTGGCTCGAGTGGACCGTTGCCCTTGAGAGCTAAGTGATGAGTGTGCTGAAGAGAAGGTATTAAGGATAATTAATATAAGATTTAGACTGTATTGTTAAAGAAGTGCATGGGGAATTTGTCCGTATGGATCTCCTCGCTGGACCCACGTGGAGGGATGCTCGTCACGCCTAGCGCAGCCGAACTGGAAAGTGCTTTCAGCGAAAAGCTGCTGCTCTAAGGGGAGGAACTGGAAAGCAGCCTTTGGGAACGCTTGTAAATTTACAAAGTTACCTGGCCGGTCAAAGTAAATTTTAAATGTGCAAGTGTATTTTTGTTTTGCATTTCTAAACACAACTTTTAAATTTTCTAAAATCAACGTGGCTGTTTTAGAAAGTCCTTCAAGTATACCCAAAAATGGCCAAGGTAAATAAGAATGTTTTTCTGAAAGAGAAGCTTTTCCACACCATAAAAACAAAATTATAAAAAAATAAAATTCCTGAGAAGCTCCATTCCACCCAATATTTCCCACCACGCCAAACGGTGTTAGGAGCTGAACTCACCACATCTTTATAGACAGCAACTACAACAAGACACCGACTGCAGTCCCTGGCACGATTTCTCAAAAACTTGTCTAATGAAGATCAAGTGTTTTACCTGAAATATATAACTGATTTAAAAAAGAAAATGACAAGCAGTAATTTACAGAATTCCCAAACGGGGAACAAATTTATATGCAACATATTCGGCCCACAACAGAAACCTAAGGTCTATATATTTCTTTCGGTTTACCAAACAGCTCCCCAAAAAATTTAAGTGATGCTAATATAGTGGAAGAGAAACTGCTTTGCAGACCTCATGCAGGCTGCTGGTCCTTCAAAAGGACAGTTCCTCGATTTTACTGCTGTTGTAATTATTCCTATTTGCTCCTTGCAATGGATTTGAAAATATTAAAATTTTATATTTATTTAAAATCAAATAATCAAGTTGAATACAAGCA